GGAATATCACCCAAAGATTGAAATAATTTCTGAAATTAAAAATGACAGTGATTCTGCATTAGAGGAAAACAATAAAAGCATGTTTGAGAATTCAGTAGGAGAAGAAGTTCCAGCAGCAATTTTTTCCAATGTGTGTAAGACACACAAAGAGCATGAAAAGGAGCACTTGAGATCCCTTGTTGAAAGCTTCTTTGCAGAGCCTGCTCCTTCAGAAAGATCCCTGGAGATCAAAGATAAACAAGCAATCCCCTCGAAACCCTTGATACAAGAGATTGTCACTGAGCCCAAGGACAATCTACTGTTGTCACCGGCCTGCAACCAACCAGGTGACCCGAGCCCATTGGAAGAGGATGGTAAGATTACAATTACTTGTCCTGGTAAGATTACAGGGACATCATTAATGACAGAGAAAAAAGTGGGTGGCACATACACACTAGAAGTAAGGATTTGTCCAGCTCTTGTTGAAAAAATTTTCAGTCTACTGTTAGTTAACAATCACCCCTTCCTTTAATTTATCCTAATACATCAGGAATTAAAATTTCATGTTTCCTTTTTCTACACAGTTGTTTATGTGAGTTTTATATAAATGGTTTTTAAAAAAATTAGGCTCTACATTTCTTTTTCCAATATTAAAGACCACCAGTAAGTTTCATTTGCCTTTCAGCAGGGAATGGCAGCGCTGGAGAAGGAGAGTGCCTGGCTGAGGGTGAAGGATGTCCTCACCAAGCACAAGACAAGGACAGTGAGAGTGGATTAGATTAATCACTCTGAAAAAAAACCCCACATAAAATCTGGAGCACAGTGCCTGGCTGACTGCACGTGGTTGTTCTCAAACTGCCAAGCTCAGCAATGGCACCGTTAGTTAAAACTGACAGAGCACTGACTGTGATAGAAAACCCACCACCTGCAACAGGAGGACTTTGTGTTTCCATCGGTCAGAGGCTGCTGCAGCCTCTGAGCAAAACTTTGGTTGTGTCAGTGTGAAAAAAGCTCATAATCCCCCGTAACTGCCGGGTGCAAGTGCCTTGTGTTCCCACTGCCAAAGCTGCTGGAGATCCCCCGGCTCCAGGCTCTCCAGGGCAGCTGGCAGTCTTGGCTGCCTTTGAAAGTGGGGACACTACATTTAAGGTTCAATTCCACTCTCTTACATCATTTTTTCCCCTTGCATCCTTCTAGAAATGTTTCTGTTTTAGGATTTCATTACATATATAGTTTCAGTGCGTAATGTACCATTTCTGCTGTTTGAGCCAAATAAAGATTTTGCTTGTAACCACATATAGTTTAACTGGTGTCAGCTCCTTACCAGCACAGTCATACCAGTGGGACTTCAACGACAAATGGAGGTTGCTTCTTAACAGGATAATTTACAGATCTAATATTCAGAGGCATTATGATTGTTCATTCCAAAACAGATGCAGAAATAGCATCCATACATGGAAAAATCCACTTTTACCTTTTAGCGCAGTCTGTGCTGAAGGATATGCTTAGATTTGCCATTTTCATCATTTTTCCTGATTTTTCATGTCTCAGGATCTGGATTTTGAATCTAACAGAAAAGTAACGAGCTAGTCAGCAGCGGCAGAAAGACAGGTTTGGTGTAAAATCCCGACCAGAGGAATTCTTCTTTCATCAGCTTCTCTCTTACATCACAGCAGTGAAAAAGTGACTTCAACCAAAGTGAAACAGAAGGTAACAGCAGCGATGCCTCAGCTGGGTTCTCTCTTCTACCTGTCTTTTTTTTTGCCTTCTTCCCCTTCTGAGATAGAGAATAAAATTCAGGGAAGTGGAGATTGCTGGAGAGCAGCGCTTCTTCTGCAACTCCAAAAAAAAAAAGAGTTGTGGAAATGGAGAAGTCTTGGCCAATTCTGCTGAGGCATTAACAGCTCTCATTTCCCCAGCGCTGTGGCAGTCACTCTGAAAATAACTGTGCGCTCTTCAAGTGCAACACAAAAGCGTTGGCTTCACCTTCGAGGGCTGACGTTGCTTTTATGGTATAATCAATGATCACAACATCAGGAGTAGGAGCTGGGCTTTAGGTGACCTCACTTTATTAATCATCCCCAAGTTTAGGTGGATGTCTTTTTTCATATTTCTATAAATCTCTCATCATTTGTAATATATAAAATTGAACAGGCCTTGTAGATGTGCACATTGAAAAGAAAAAAATGACAATGGCCTTGTTGAAAAGATTTCTTTCCAATTCGCTGGGCTGAGGTGCTGTCTGGTGGGGAGAGAACTGGTCCCGACCATCATGCAAAATAATAATCTCGGGGAAGACAACACGATTCCTTTAATCTTCAGCCATTTTCCACTTCCCATGAGTAAAAACACGCTGATAAAGTCCTTGGCCTCCAGGACAGGGCAGGAGGAGGAGCAAGGGCCTGTCTGAAAACATCTTCACAGAAGCTGCTCTTTAGAAAGATGCAAATACATCCGACAACATTTGTGAGCTTGGACCTAAAAATTATCTGCCTCCCTTTTGTGACAGAAAGCTGGATAAGAACTACTTGGAGAGCTTCGGGTTGTGCATTTTTTGTGCTGTTAATTAGTGCCTGTCCTGGTACCCCCTTATTACACTAAGAAGAAATAAGCAGGAGGGACCATATTATCACATCACACTTCAAAAAGAAAAAATGTTTAGAAACAAAAGATTTTTAGAAGCACTTCCAAGAGCGACATTTGAGCTCTGTTATCACTGAAAGCAAGACAAAAAGGATAAAAAATTGAATTTCAAGAACTCTGTGTTGCTCTGATCCTGACTTTACCTGATCCCTCCTCCCTGACTGGCATTTTAGTTTGAAGAACTCAGCCGCTCTCTGAGCTGTCTTTTTTTTCCTTGCCACATTTTACAGGGTAGATCTTTCCAGCTCCTGTTATTTCACAGAGATGATAACAGTCCATAAGTGGGCCCTGCATTATCTCACAGGTGAATCTCCTGAATTCCTGGAAGCTATTTTCACTTATCAGTGAGGATCTGGGAAGAAGGAAAGGAGTAAGGGGGGGGGGTAGGGGGAGGTAGGCGAAAGTAGTGAGAGAAATGACAGAGTGAGACTAAATGAGAAAAAGGAAACATATTTAATTAGTGTTTTCTGTAAAACTTTACAAATGTACAGCATAGTGCAAAAACGCAGTCTCAGCACATCACCTTCAAGTAAAATTAACAATATAAAAAGCCAAGGAACACAAGCTTGCTTCTTCACAGGAGTGGCTCTCGAATACTGTTCCTGGAGGTTCCCCTCTCACCATCAAGCTCCAACCCCATGTTTATAGTCGAGCAAAAAGCCTAAAGAAAAACCCAAGAACCATCCCGAGTGGCTGCTCAGAGCGAGCACGGTCTGCGGCTCGATGCCAGACAAAACCCCGCAGCCTGAGGTGGTGCCAGGCACCTCGCTGGCTGACTTGCACCTTTGCCTACTTGCAAGTAGCTCTCCTAAGATGGTTCATTTCTCAACCCTGATTAGACAATCCAGCGGGACACTGAAGGGAATTGTCTAACCTCAAGCATGTGATAGGCTTCATAAAAATATGGGAAAACTATGCAGGGGCTTGAAGTTAAGCCTGTGCTTAAATAGCTTATGGGATCAATACATTCAGTGTTGACATGAAGGCAATCTAGCGTGTGAAGGTTCAGAGAAGGATGTAAATCTTGAACGGGGATAAACGTGCTCTGTCAGGGCCTTTGAGGCACCAGACAGTTTCAGCTACCTATGAGAAAAGCAGTAAACAGAGTGTGGCTCAACAACTCTCCATCGCTGGGAACGACAAAACACAGTGGGAAATGGGCTGATCCAGCCGAACTTTCTAAGCACAAATCTGTCAAAAAGGAAAACCTTGTCCTTGATACGCTCAAGCACATCATCTAAATACCAGGCCAGTGGGGGCTGCCAGAATTTTCCCTTAGTCCTGAACACAAAAACAGTGGCTGGAATTAATTCAGAAGCTCTCACAACCTGGCTTCTGCAAAGACTGCACCACCGAGGCGGTGACAGAGCTCCCAGCACACCGTCGTTAGCTGGGGAAAAACGGGCTCCAAAGTGAATGTTTCTGAACTAACACATCTGTTCACAAACTGATAAATGGATGGAGGAAAGGGCTGTGACAGGAAGGTCCATCTCTAATATGCTCACCTTATGAAGAAGAATTTGAGCCTGCACTCATCTGACTGATTGACTACATGTTGGGGTGGATGCTGCTTGACCATTCAAGATGCTCAGAAATATGGTTTAGAACCAAGAATCGTCATGGCAATGGAAGTGGGCAGAGCATCTCTTCAAAGGATACCAGCACGGCTTCCACCTCCCTGTCTAAGCCCTCAGGAGGCCTGAGTTAGTTGAATTTCCTGGGTCTGTCTTACTGCATTTGGGTGGCTTTCCTAAGGAAAAGCAACTTGGGTAGAGAATACTGAGATAAAGAATACATTCTCCTTAGAACTACAGCATAAAAAACAAAGCTCTGCTTTGTTGAGAAACTCCATTGTCAGAAACCACATGGAAGAGGAAGATTAATTCAGCCTTTGGAGGCTGGTCTCAGATGGACAAAGGACAGAAGAAAAGTTAGTGGGACAGGGTAGACTAACCCTTCTGCCTCTCTCCTACACTGAGCAGCTGAGAGAACTTCTGCAAAGGGAATCTGATCAATTAAACTGGTTCATCAGATTTTACACATCAATAAACCAACAGGAAGGTCTTCAGGGCAAATAGAACAGGTCAAGGCCGAGGGAAAAAAATCATTGGACTGGACATGGAATACTCAGCCAGCACCAAAACCCAGAGCGCGCTCCCTCAGTCCTCTCTGCACGTGGAAAATTGTGTGTGCAGAAAAGTCTGTCTTTTTTTCTTTCTTCTTTGTTTTTAAGTATGGGGTGCCCTGCCTTTATGTCAGACAAAATCAATTTGGGGCCAAAAAAATAATCCCAGACAACAAACCCTCTCAACTCAGCATGGGATGTTTTGGCGTCTGTGATAGTCTGTAGCTCCCCTAGGAGCCAGAGACACATTCATGGAGTGGTCACTCAGAAAATGATCTTCTGCACATCCCAAGAGACCTTCATTTTCCTACTCTCCCTAGGAGGATATAAGGGAGAGGCAGAAGTACATCCCATAAAAACCAAGAAATGGATAAAATAGTATTTTTAGAGCATTGGACTGGCATATAGAACTATTTTCCTATTTAAAAACAGCATCCAGAAGGGTCAGGCATCTTAGCTAATCTGTGCTGCCCCAGCAGAATCCAACAGTTTGCTGTTGCAGACACTAGTCTGGATCACTTGATTTTATGAAGTCCCTGAGGTACTTTCAAGCTCCTCTTCACTTAAATGTCATTAGAAGATTTGAAATTTCTAAAAGCATTTTTAAGAAAAACAAACATAATCTTGCCAAGTTCTCACTCCCCATAGGAGCAAGCACCAGAGGCAGTATTTGGTTTTAAATTTGTTACCCTGGCCAAACACTGAAATTCAGGTGCAGGGAGGGTCATGCAACAGCTACTGACCATTTCCATCTACTCAAAAAGAAAAGGCACAAAAAAGAAACTCTCTTGTGGGTTTCTGAGTCACTTCTGTTTCGTTACATTCAAACCTGTGGACGCTTGGATGGGTGGGAGGGAGATGATGTTTCTTGGAAGCTAAATCACTGGTTGTTGTCAGGTGAAGAGCTCAGGTTTAACGGGATATCCCCTTGGACACCCACAGAGGACAGGTAGGAAGCCATATTTTCAGATGGAACATAAAGTGATGAACTTTCAGGCAAGCTGATGAGGTCATT